ACGCGGGTAACAAGTACGGCTTTGTGAAAGTTTTTCACGGGTAAGTCACGGGTAAGTTAATATCTCGGGAACCTCGGAGTCAAGGAGGCTGAAGTTTTAGGGCTATGATCCCCTGTCCATCCTCAACCTTACCCATTCAAATTCAGCCTTCCCTTACCCGCGGGTAATACGTACGGCACCATGAAAGTTATTCACGGGTAAGTTAATATCTCGGGAACCTTGTAGTCTAGGAGGCTGAAATTTTATTTTTTCGTTTCCTGGAGTGTCTGCCAGTTTGGTGGTTGCCCTCACTGAAGCGCTTGGCAAAGCTTTGCTTGTACCATTTTGTCATTACCACCTTGTGTCGAACGTTAGCGCTCCTGAGCAACGAGAAGTACCTTGCCGACTGGGACTTCTTAGCATAATGTAATATGAAATTTTATAACGAAATATTGGCCTATCCCAGTTTTTTTTGCGTTTCTGCTGTTCCCTGGCCAAGTGCGATCCCAGGGACACGATATCAACTTCCGCGCATGCGCACACCTCACATATGGACACGTGAAAGTTTTAGCGGGAAAATTGATAACTCGGAAACAAGAGAAGCTACAATGCGGGAATTTCAAGGGGATGTTCCCCTCTCATGCGCAATGGAAAAGATTTCAAATTTAGTTCCTTAGCATGCACGAGTCTCACTTGCTCACACATGAGGATTTCGACATGGGATTTGATGACTTGAGAGCTAGAAAAGCTGGGAAACTAATTTAAGGAGATTTTCCCCCGCCCAAGCATAATCTAACTCCTTGGTATACCTGAGCTTGATGAACGACCGACCATCGAATAAATTTATTGTATTCATTGTGCTGTTGTTTAAGATTTCATGCAGCCATGTGATGCAAAACTACCTCCCCAACCGACGCCTTTTTCCCTTTGCATGCAAGAAAAGGCTAAAATATGTCAAATTATAACGCAGCCAACATGAGTCCACGTGCTGAACTGTAAAATGTCGGCCAATCATTCTAGTTCCAATACTATATACGTGCATACACATACATATAAAGATTGCAAAATCAGCTTCTGTGCACACGTGGTTGTTGCGTATAGTTGCATGAAAGTCTTGGTAGAAAAATGGCAACTTGGACCAGAATAGCCAGTTCAGCACTCATGGAAATTATTCATTTCCCCTTATGTAAAACTTACGGTGATTTACAGCAATGAGTGCACAAGTTAAATGTAATGCAACAACCATTTATAGAGTTAGCGATCTGATTGCTTCAAGTTTAACGCAAAAACTCATGACTGCACGGGCAAAGTTTCTTAATAAAAAGCGCCCAGTATATGGCACGTTGTCAAAAAAAGAAGGGCAGCGTTTTTACTGTATTCTATGAGCTGTCCAAGGTGCACTAAAGGTCAAAAGAATTCCTGGAAAATTATGTTTCAGGAGAAAATCAGTCAGTGTGAAACGGCTTTCTCTAATTGTTCTGCTATCTTTTGCAGTCAGTGGGTACATTGTTATGAGTACGTCTTCTCTCTGGGCATCTTACTGTGCTCTGTTCCTTTTGGGTTAGTTTCCTTTCATAATGCTTTGCTTTGGTGCTGTGTGACTGAATCTGTGGTTGGATTTGATACATTATACGTGTCCAGTGGATGGAGGTCAGGTTTCTCTGAGCCGTATTGTTTGGTTTAGCGGTACTTAACTTATAGCTTAGTCAGAGCAGTATTAAGTAGTGCATAACTCGACTGCTCGTGTTTTCTTGATGATTTGTACGGCGTTTACTAATTTTTTCCTGAATCGAAGGGTCTAACAAAGCTATGTCCAACAACTTCCCAGTGACACGCTAATTGTGAGCCCCACTTGCTCTTGTTATTTTACAATTCTTATTGTTATTTATAGGGACATATCTTAGGAGCCGCAACAAGAATCGTAATACCAAGAATCTTTGTTTTGATTCGCTTGAAGATTACCCACTCTATTATTACAGGCGTGACGCTGGGAAATCTTTCGCCGTCACTGTTTTGTTGGCTAACTGAACAGGAGTTATGCAGCCGGCTGTCATTGAATTTGTCCTATAGTGTCAGTATGTTTCTTGGACGTCTTGTTCTTCCATGGTCTGTCGTACTGGTCATTCATCATTATCGCGCACCAGTAGTGCTTTTTGTGGTTTCCTCTCTCGCACTATTTGTTGCCTATATTTCGCTTACGATGACACTGCGTGCTGTACGAGTTTTCACACGTATCAATGCCGTAAATCATTTTTCAAATTGCGTAGAAAGGGAGATAGGCAGTGGGGAGGTGGTGATTAAACAGAAGAAATCACGAAATGGCCAGTACGTGGCGCTGATCAACAAAGATGACACGAAATGCGAGGACTGCATAGCTGATGACGACCTGGATGATAGGGATATCATCCTCCATCATAATGAACAGGATTTGGGTAAATACGCCATCTGAATACCGATCTATTATTACATGTTTATACAGTTTTTAATGTTTTTTGACAAAATAAGGCACTGCTTTGTTACTGCGCTTAAGAGTTCTGTTCTCATGTATTTCCCAGTGATGTAATGTTTTAACTGATACGCTGTTATCACTTTCCAATAACTTTTATTTTCCACTAGCTCTGTTGTATAGAAAGACGCGTAGAACAATCTCTTTCTTCCTCTGTCTCTTGAATTCGCTCAGTACACTTCAATAATATCTGTACGGTTTAATTAGGTGCTTAATTTACAGTTCTTTTTTTTTTTTTTCGTTTTTCTCTTTCTGGTAAGTGGACCTGACGGGACAAATAGTTTTTTCTTTAG